TTGTTTTGTTGAAAATTTAAGAAACAAGTTCTAAAATTCAATAATAGAACTCAAGAAGTTCTCTAGAAGTCTTAGAACTCTAAAGAAACAAGCTCTAAAATGTTACATTGCCATTAATTTTTTAACGCTATTATTTTCGTGGGTGAACCGGCTATCTACTTTTAATTTTCATAGTATTAGTTTAAATAATACATTTTGGTGATGTGTGTGGCGGCATAGTTTGAACAGTAAAGTGGCGCGCTGTGCCACCAAACACACGATGCTCCGCTAATCTCCAACTATACACTTTTATTGTCAATTTATTTTTTTGATAGTTAATTTTTTAAATACTTTGAACATTATATTTATAAATAATTCATATCACCTTGTGTATAAATTATATTATCATTATCATAACATCAAATAAAGTTTTCATTTATTAATTGTATGGTATATACTTATGCAATGTACATAGGTAATATAAATGATATAACATGTATTTTACCTAATAACAATAATTGTATATTTACTAATGTAAATTTAAATATATATTAAAACATTTGTGAAGGTTTATAATAATACAAATTCACTGTGACGAGTCGTGTAAAATATTCGTTTCTTTATATTTATACTTAATTTTAAAAATGTTCAGTTTAACTTTAGTTATTGACTAATAATAATGTCTAGTATTAAAATTAATTTAAACATATAGCCGGTGTTTAAATAATATTGAAGTACTAAGTAGTATTTAAGATGTACTCTCAAAAAGTTAGACTTTAAAATAGGTATTAAAAAAAATGTATCTTTTTTTATCTAGATAAAAATGTATTTATATTTAATCTTTATCTAGATAATTCGTATTATCTTTATTTTGATCTAGGAAAAAAAAAAGGCTTAAATCTAATACCAACACTGGTCTCAGGTATTTTCTACTTTTGATGCCATTTCTTTCTTCATTTTTCCTAACACTTCTTTATTTGGCATTCGAGTTGTCCTTAGGGTTTTGAGCATTCTCCTTACAGCCACATATCTAATGTTCCCAGTTTTTTGGCGATGGCGTCGTTAAGCATCTCTTTGTGTTATTTTTATATTACTCGTATTTTATTAATTCAATTTATTAATTTAAACACATTTAGAATTAATTTGGTTTATCTTGCACTGTTTAATATATCTACACGATTATACTTATGACTTTTCAATTTTTTAATGAAACTCGTGAGGTCTACTGTTCACTGAACGACTAATAATATTATACAATTATTTTATTACGGCACCATTTAAGAACAATGCAGAAAAACCTCTTTTACGCTTTTAGAGGGCTGCCGTAGGTATGTATGATTAAAATGATTCTAAGCGAATCTCGAACATTTATATTATAATATTATAATATCGTACGTAACACGAAAATGTGCGAATTTCCGCAGAAGACAATATACGCGTCGACTCGAAAATATGTCAAACAAAAACAACACGCAGTCATACAATTATTATATAGAAATAAAATATTGCTGAAAACGTATACGCGTGTAAGTATACGCGAGTTTAAACTTTTAAAGCATCACTCCTATATCAATTTTACAAAGTGCCATATTGTGCCTTATAACAATAGTACGTATATATTATATGTACCACGCAGTAATTAAAATGGATATTTTCCGTTAAAAATAATATTGTTATTTTATTTTTACTTTTGGTTTTGTTTGTAAAATTTTATCCCTGAGCCGCAAGTAAAGAACGCAAATTATATTTTTTTTTATGAGTAAAATTAATACTCCTGAACAGCGTATTAAGTTCATAGTGTTTACATTTCTGAAAAGCCTTTAAAAAAAAATAAAATACTGCTGATGGATTTGCCACTGTTTTAGATGAGAAGTTGGGAAGATTTATAAAATATAGAGTTCTTTTATTTATATCTGTACGTAAGTATAAATTATTGCGAACGAAATGTGATTCTGAGCATCTGACCAAAGTTCGGTTAAATAATGAATGATCTGAAATGAAGATTTTCTCGACAAAAAGAGAGAAATACGACTAATTATACTTTTATCGGAATCGTTTTTCATTGGCACGATTTATTATTGCGTACAGATAAAAATGATTGTCTACGACAGAGTATTATAAATCATCCCTTTTAACTTTTCTCCTAAAACAGCGGTACGCTAATCGGCAGTATCAGTATCATTTTTTCGAACGCTCATTCCGCCACCAGTTATAGCTACTATAATAATCCTAAAAATGAACCACTATTCGAATTGAAAAAAAAAAAAACATATGACGAATTGTTACAAGCGTTACAATGACGAACATAATTTATCGAAAATTAAATTCTTCGAGTCTAGTACAGTGGTGAAATAAACGCGGTCTTTGAGAAACTGAAAGTGTCTGGGTTATTTGAGACTGGCAGTGCTTGAGTTGGAAAAATATAAAAAGGGGGACTATGAGACTTATGAAAAAGTACAGTACCTTGTAATGTTCGTCTTTAACCTAACAATCCTCATAAAAATATTGAGACTAACAATCATTATTTATTATTAATTAACAGGGCTACATAATTAAGTATTTACAATTGTATACTTCAAATAATCGGAAGCACTCGGCTAATCGTGCATATCATTTATCACTTATTTAAATCATACAAGACCACAAACATGTAATACAAAAAAAAAATAATAATTTTTTACTAGACGATAAGTGAAAAAAAAAATGCATAATTTATTTGAGTTAACAATAGGGCAATAAATACTTTTTGAAAGTATCATTATTTTCTGGAAAAAACGTACAACGTACCATCCCCTCTCCTTTACAGTAGAAATAATTAGAAAAGGGAACTATGAAAAAAAAAAAAAAACAGTAGAGGGGTTCCGTCCCCCTGCGTCCTTTCCCCCAATTCATTAATTTGGGTTTATTTTGCCACGGGTCGAAGTCATAATTTGTTCAAGCAATTGTTTATTGTATTAACTGTGGTTTTACAGACTGCCGACCGGTTCGCGATTATCCTGATTATTCTGATTAACTGCACCGTGGATAGGCCATTGTTTTAGGTGAGTATTTGGGAAGGTAGTATATAAAATCGTATGAGATATGGTTCATTTTATATACATTAGGCCATTACAAACGAATAACGATTCTGATCGGAGTATTATAATTCGTGTTTTATCCCCTTATTGTTCAAACCAACCTTGCAGAAATCATAAAAAATTAAAATCAAAAAAATATAAAAGTATTTAAGTGTTGAAAATATCGATATAAGTATGTGAAATAAAGTACCACCGGTCGGAAATTCCACATCTTCTAAAGTACCTAGTTCGTAAAAATATCGGAGAATTTTAATCACTAAAAAAGTGTCTAAAAATAAATTCGGATAAAAAAAATATCTCATACAGTGCAGTTCGTGAACCTTATCTGTACATTGTTGCCGAGTGAAAATTCTGCTAAAAATGCGATACCACGCGGTGGATGGACTTGGCAATTTATTTCCACAGCGACGAGTGTCTAGTTACTAGTCTATGTATCACTAGAACGATCAAAGCGTTTTAAATTATAAAAAATAGAGGATGGAAACGATTGGTTGATAAACTGCCGTTTGTGTGACCGAGTTGGTACGTTTACTAGTGAAATTAATAGGTTATTTTCTTTGCGCAAACGAGCACGACTATTTGTCAACGGCTCAAAAAAGATAAAGTCGATTTTTTGTTTTCATTGTGCTGTGTGCGCAAAACGGTTACACCCTTTGCTCGTAACACACGTATACGTGTTATACAGATAATACTGTACGAAGGCGCATATATACCGTGTAATCTAATAAAAAAACAATCTCTTACCATATTATTTTGTTATTCTTTAATTATTTTAGGTTCTGGCTGTAGCGAAAAAGATATTGGTTGTTACCCGACTAAGATGTAGTTACTTTTAAATTTTAAATTTGTTTTTCTCGGTTAGTAAAATAACCAGATTTTTTGCTTTGTGTAGCGGGTGGTATGAGTCGCATATTCACCTCTCAGAGTTTATTATTTAGCGTATATTCGCTAAAAATACGACGACACGGTTTCAATGTACGGTTGTGTAGTCCTGTACATATTGGAATTTTCAGCGATGTAAAAATAATATTCCATATTAATCAGTAAATCAATTGTCAGTAAATATCGAAGTGCATGTTAAAACAAATGTTGAGAAACAATAACCAAAGAAATCATTTTATACCCATTTAAGTGGGTACACTCATTACCTCGGAAAGTATTAACTGTTTTCGGAATTTGTTTTCTAGAACATTTAAAAAACAATCAGCTCTACAATTTTATATTTAAGCTATTTTTTGTAATCCTTATATTTGGGGATAAAACCACTACCTACTTTTGATTTTCAAATGGTAATCTGTATTGCAAATTCCATAAATAGATGGAGTATTAGTTAAAACAAATTTGAGTGTTCATATTTTTTATTTCTGTTAAGCCATTGACGAAATATTCCACTTTTACGTTTAGGTTGGAGGAGAGTAGTACAGTATCATTTATGTGGTAGTATGGCGCGCGGCGTGTTAATAATATGCATCACCACTCTCTCCCAAATCATACTTAAAAGCGGAATATCTCGTCAACGGATCAACGGAAAATAAAAATGTCAATACTAAAATTGATTTTTACTAATATACCATCTATTTATGGACTTTTAAATATAGGTTACCATTTTAAAATGAATCACTAAATGAATCACCTAGTACACGAAACATACACAATGTAAATATCTGAGTTACACATACCTATCTATATTATACAAATCTTATCGTATATTTTGCTTTAGAGTGATTTTGATGACCGTATTACATTTTATTAGAATTTTACTTTATAAAACTAATAATGTATGTATTTTTAGTCAATTAAAAAAAACGTCTATTTTATGCTTATACTCATAAAAATGATATAAAAATGTTATTTTTTTTTAAAATTAAAAAATTGAAACGGATTTTTTTATAAGTGACGGAGAACAATTTTTATTATTTTTCATAGTATTTTCATGATTTTTTTTTTTTGGAAAACTCAAAATTAAGGAAAATAATATTAAACTGATTCCTCTAAAGTAAATAATTTAAAAAAACTAAACTTAAATTAAAAAAAGAAAAAAACCAACATACAAACATAGATAATGTTCTTCTCATCGTTCTGCTTGGTAATTGATTAAATAATTAATTCACTCTAATATTAAAACTACCAGCGCAAAATCGAATTTGCCGAGCGCAAGTTTGCTGTCATGCAGAAGGCAGAGGCAATAGATGTATGTGTAGCGTTCTCTTATGAGATGTGAAAATTATATTTGAAACATTTTTTGAAATTCAGTTTTAGACCTCTAGACTCTTATTTTGATTTTTTTTCTCGGTAAAACTTTTTCGGTTTGTAGTAAAAATGCTCCAAATTTTACACAACGTACTATAAAAGATGCGGGTTTTTTTGGTTGGTAGTACCTTTTCGGCTAACGTTTTTTCTAGATTTCCGACAATTTATTTGGTAAAAACTAAAAAAAACTAACAAAAACTATGAAGTTATATAGGTTTTATTTTTATTGATTTCTGGGTTATTTTATTGGTTGCAATGGGGGGAGGGAACACGACTTACCGGTTTACCAAGCTCAGAATCACGCATTTCACGGTTGCGATAATTTATCGTCACTTTCAGAACATAAACTGCGTTACCCTAGTCTCGCCTTCACCAGCGGCCTAGTCACACGGTGAAAAATATACGTTCGACTTTTTGTCGTATAATTAATGTTAATTATTCAGGAATTTTTCTTAAGAAAGTATTATTATATTTTGTCATCGTCTCAAAATACATCCAATCGACCATACTATCAGAATTCGTTTAAATAATAAATACGGTATAACGGTACACAAATTGTAATTTCAAAATAATATGATACATATTTACACATCGGTTTTTTGACAGTGAAATATTATTGTCCCGTTCGTTTTCTCACTCGGGACGTTTGATTTATCGACATCGAATAACAAAACCAACGACGGTTAATAAATTATTATTTAATCGTTTAAGTTTGCACGTATAGCGACCGAAAATAATTTGTAATTATTTCATACCGCTTGAATTTGTTTATTTGTTAATAAACTACTCAGTTATTTTCATATTTTATGCGCACGTATCTACTCGCAATAAATCGCATTGCGTGTATATTACTTGATAGATTTGTTTGTAGAATGAAAATCACAACTCCCTCATACATAATAATTCGCGACCTTCTACAGATCCAAATACATCAATCCGCGTTTAACGCTGTGTTCGGGTTAGAATAAAATTTAGTGTTTTGGTTAATGTTAGAATGTAGAAAGAAACCTCAAAAAATATTATTGATTGCATTTTTCAAAATTTCCGATAACCGCATTTCAGTATAATATTATCAACATTGCGATTGCTCCAGAATTGAATAATATAAATCATAAATGTATATAAAGATGTCTACAATAACTTTTACTCCAAACCGTAAAATTACTAAATATTAATATTAATTAATTAATATAAATTATAATATTACTAGACTTAAGTGAATTTCATCTGGTCTCGATTTTCATAAAATTATTATTCAAACCTAACCACGTGAAATTTACAAAAACCGCACAAATAACCCATTAACGCACGTTGAAATGTTGAGACACCTACTTAAAATAATGAATGTTCTCAAACCAGTCAACAATATTAACGTATTCTGGTATTTAAATGGTCGTTAACTTGTGTTTCAAACTTATAAAACCAAAGGCTATACTAAACTTAAGAATACAAACCATAGTAGTTACACTATTCAGCAAGTCGGTTTCTGTTTAATCGCTTCAAAAACCGTGCATTAAATGGTATGAACAGCTTGCTCATACGGATTTTTGCAGTTCGGGTTTTTGGTGTACGAACCCAATCGTATAGTGTGAAATGAGTCGTACGATGTGAAGAATTCGGAACATTTTTACAAATCGAAAAGGCTTTGAGGGAAAAAAAAAAGATCTGGGTAGTAAACGGTTGGACATTTAAAAAAAAAAAAAAAGGTTTCAAGTAAAATACCACCGTGAAAAAATTCCGCATATTTTAAAGTACTACATAAAATGTATTTTCCGAGAAAAAAAAACACATCTTAGTAAAAGTATAATAGCATTTTCGCTTCACTCGGAAAATGTATAATAAGTAATCTTAAAAATTCTTTCAGTGTGCACAATTCATCTGCATATGCTATTCATACTCGTATTTTCGTTTTAATCGTCAACGGAAAGTAGAGAAATCTTTTGAAAAAATCACTGAAATTGCTATTGTCTAATAAACGAGTCATAATTAATTATTAGTCTTAGTTAATTATTAATTACCGAAGTAATTAGTATGTTACTAAAATTGCTTTGGTTTATTCAGGATTTTACAAGGGTTTAATAAAATGTGATAATATTATTATTGTTTAATTATTATTATATTTAATTTTATCCTCTTTGTAATATGATTACGATTATTAACATTTTTAACCAAATTACAACAATAAAAATAATCGAAAATAATGAAACCGGTATTGTTATAAATGTCTTTTCTACGTTTTTACCGGATTTGTCCAAATTTTTATAAAAACTACTTAGAAAATCAAAAAAAAAAAAAAACGACGTCTTCAATAATTTACCAATTAGATCCAACATGCAACGAAAGTGCTCACTTGTAATTTTTTGACTGGAACGAGATCTCTGGTAATAAAGCTTTTAACAGACGGGAAAATAAAATAATAACAACAATAATAAATACAGTCCTTGCTCCGCAGCGAATAAATAAAAAAATATGAAATATTAATGTGGAATAATGTGAAATGCGCATGGATGAAGTGCATATATTATTAATGAATAGGTAAAACGATAGTAATAATAAACTTCGAAATTTCATGGGATACGAGACTAATCTTTTACGTCAAAGAAGTATAATAATTATAAAAACATATATTCTATGGATAAAAGTTTTCGTTGAACATAATTAACGAATACACGAAATCATATTATTTTTGAAAACTTCGTGTTCGTATTTTAGAATTATTACTGTACGTCATTATTATAATGTGCGAGTAAAAATAATATGAAATACCTTTAGGTAGAAATAATTAAAAGTACAAATTTAATAACTATTTAGGTGATTCAAATTAAATTTTGTTTAGATTCTGAGCGGAGTAAGGAATTTATTAATTTTACAGTTATGTTTATTTTTTTTCTGTGATAAACTTTTCTACCGTAAATTTTGCTTCGGTTTTCAAGTGAAGCATTTTTTCTGAAAGGAAATCTAACTGGGGTGGTACTTTAAGGGGATCGTTATTCGATTTTGCCAGGTGTTTTTCATTATAAATGGGAAAATCGGAAAAATTTACGAAATGTATTATTTAAAAACATAAATATTACGGCCTTTCAAAACGTGTATAACCAAACTCCGCTCAGAATGGTTTTCTGAATCTCAAGTTATTTTCAAATCTTATACGAATCGCATTTGTATAAAATTTCCACCGCTTTATGGATTGCACGTATACTACTGCAGTAATTTCACTCATCACTTTTAACGAAAAATTAAATCAATTTTTTTTTCCTTGTGCATAGAAGTATATTATTGTCATCACTAAAAATGACTCAAGTCGTATATTTTATTGTCATTTCACATTTGTGTGCCGAGCAGACGAGCACACGTTATACTTATTATAAATCAGTTTGAAATAAATATAAAACAAAAACAAATATTATTATTTACTATGACATGTAAACAGAAATTCGAGTAAGTATTATTGTATTACAAGATCGGAGTGGCTCCAGTGTGCAACTAAAGTGAGTTGCATTAGTGATTCGCCAAGTAAATAACAACTCAAAAGTATGTGAACGTATTGTTTTAGAAATATATATTACAATTCCGGACGACAAAGGATATTATTTCGAAAAAACAACCGCGTATTCTTTTAGGGGTCCGGAACATTGGTACATATTCAAAGAAAGCAATACGTCCAAAAGATTTGATTATCAAAATCGTTTTGAATTTGACCGATTTTCGGTATTTTAGGTTATACAAAGATAGAGTAGATATTAAAGGCATGGTGTACAAAAACTACCATATCTAATAAGTTAATGTTTAAAAAAGAAAATAACTAACAACTGTTCAAAGTTTTGTGTTAAATTAATTCGTAAATTTTCGTGGCGTCATTTTTAGATTTTCACCATGGGTAAAGGCGATCGATAAGACATTTTTTTTTTCTAATTATGGACTCACCAATTCAGTGATATACCATGAATATCCATTAAAGGGTTAAGTTTACGATTTGTTTTTTTAAATGTACCGAGAAAATTATCAATTTGTATTATTAATCTCGCTTAAATAACACCTATTGGTATTATATTAATTTCATTTAATAATTTAATATTTAAATATCATATAGGTAACCAACTTATCATAAATAATTATTTACAGTGACAATACGGTATATGGTGTTATTTTTTTTTTTTTAATTTGGTAAAACTCACGCCTTTTATATATTACTAATAGATAAAACACACAAATTACAAATGTTGAATTATATTTAAAACAGGAGACAATATAAAACAGATTTAAATGATGTTGTTCTTAATTCTAATTCAATTTTCACTATCGCATAATGTTCAAAACATTAATATTGTTGTTATTATCCAAACGCATATGCGATACATTTATTTTAATGGTTTTTATTATTGTTTATTTACTGTAGTAAAAACCACGACAACTAGTGGCGCCGAATCAGTTTTTAAATGGTCTATATGGACTTTAGGCCATTATTGTCTTCTTTAAATAACATTTTTACACCAGAGAGAAACTCTGTCTATTTACCACCACCACTACCACCATCTAGAACCCCCTAAAAAAAATATCCAATAGGCTTTTTCAAAATAACGATTTAATATTTTATTCATTTGTTACATATATATATATATATTTATTTGTGTAAGACAAATAATGTTAAAATAGATATGATAAGTCTGTATATAAAAAATTGTACATTTAATGTACAGGTGCATAGTGTAGGAGTGGAAATTGTGGGGGCATAGCCTCAATGAGCCTTTGATGTGTCCATATTTATCTCACCCCAAAAATTGGTGGTCAAGTTTCGGCTATGTTAACTTCCTATCTATAATAGTGGCGCGCCTATCACCAATACCAGGTACTATAAAAAAAAATTAAGTTAATACCAAACTAGTACAAAGCAAATACAAATTGATCCCTAAAAATATTTAAAAATCGCGTGGACACCAATATTATAAACCCAAGGTTTTATAGACTTTGAATATTCATTGAATTGTATCTTCATAGGTACGCTCATTTTAATTCGTTATTTTAATAGAACACACAGTAAAAATTACAAATGACAGATAGTTTTACGAAAACGATAC